TATTAAAGAGAACAATACAAATTGAAATACATTTTTGGAATTTAAAATACATCTTACTCAAATAATTACGTAAAAAAATTATTCGAGTAATATATAACATTGTAGAATTAACTAAGAATTAGCTAATTATAAAATTAACTGAAATTTGATCGAAGCTATTCTGCTCCAGTATTTTGGCATTGGCTGCGTTTAGCAAAGAAAGCAGCTTTGCAACTGTTGTAAAATTCTTTAGTATGATTAGTCTTGTTCTTATATAATTCCTTACTGGATTTAAGTATATTATAATAATATAAAATTGCAAAACTGCTTTTTCTGCTGAACGCGCTTTAAGTTGCAAAAACAACTCTGTATGATAATATATGATGAGTATAACGCGCAGTTGCAAATGCTGTATCCGTCTATACACAGCGAGTTCGATTCGGGGGTGATCCAGGGTGATCGAGAGAGTTACGACTTATGACAAGGAAGGTCGCGACGCGAGTATGCGAGGCGAATAAGTTCGACGCGACGCGACTCGACGTGGTCTCGGCTCTCGCGTGACGTAGTGGCAGTGCGAACTGCGACTGTGATTCCCGGTTCCCATAGTTTTCGCGAGGCGGATCGAGGTGCCTCGCGTGAGATTGCGTAGCAAAGCATGCGAATCGGGCGATCGTATTCTATCGGCACCGTCGAACTCCGTCGTCGTATCCGGCATATCCCCCGCGAAAAAGGAGCGAGCGAATCGAACGGTGACAGGGTCGATACGTTGACTTCAAGGGCGCGCGGCTCACCCACGCAGGTTCGTGGGACAGCAGTCTTCACGTAAGTCAGTTTTGCTCCAAAATGATACGTATGTGCTTTGTGTTATTTGACGATAGACTCGTGGAATCGCGAATAAGACAATCAACGAGGTATTTCGCGAAACGGGAGTTTCGTCGACCCCGTCGCTGTATAGGTTATGTTTCTTTGGTATAATTCACAACGCTACTAAATATTTAACGAGGAAAGGATCCATTTAAGTACGTGTTGAAACGAACTCTGAATTTTTTATGACTGGGTTTGTATTGTTATAGTATTGTTGATAGCTAAAACATTTTAAATGTTTTTGTAATTAATTTTGAATGTGCGTTTTAAATGGATATTTGGAGGAGTTATTTGCAGAAGGATTGTTTGCATGTGTGACATTGATCTGTCACGAAACAGATGTTTATGTGACGTGGAGTAAACGTAATAATAGAGTTTATGCGATTTCAACATGAATGTGACAAATATTGATGTTCCATTTATGCGCAGACTTATGCATGCATTTGAGTGTTTCCAAGAGAGGAAGAAGCAAAGAGAGAGTATGTGTATACTATATCACTTTTTCATGCTTAATTGAAATATTTATCGAAGTAAAACTGCTGTGTAGCAAAAATTTCATGTAAGAGAATTTATTCATTCAGTTTTAGGACACTTTAAAATTTAAACTTTCGCTGTTGGCGAAAACAGATTTTAGTAATTGACGCTTTTTCGTTATTTTACATTTTATTGTTTAGATAAAGTTTATTTTATAATGGAACCTTATTGTTTGGTGTACATATAATTAATTATAATTAAAGAATTTTAGCCGGTTTTTATTTCAAATTTATTGTAGTGAAATTGATTTCTGAATTATTATTAAAAATAATAAAAACGAAATATAACGACGATAGCTTGTATAAATTTTAAATATAACTTTTTTTGTTACATCCAGTGATATAAACATTTCAGTTTTTTTAAAAATGTTATGAGACATTTATTCTCATTTATACTGATTGATTAATCTGATTGCAATTTTTAATTTTTTTATCAACATAGCATTAAAACATTATGAATCTTTAAAAAATATTGTTTTCTACTTATATTAAAGTCTATTAATATGCTTGGCATGATCAAAATTCCTCGGCAGTTACAGCTTCCCTAGATTTATATAATTTTATATAGAAGGCATAAATTTAATAATCTGAATAGGAGAAAAGAGTAGAGGGAGACGAGTTATTTTCCCAACACGTGTATATAATTTTGTGAATCAAATAAATTGGAGCGAGTACACGCGAGAGCGTTTCTATTTTTGTTGTGTGTGTAGCGCGCGGTATAAAAAAATCACATAAACCAAAAATGTGTAAACATGACGCCGAGATTAAATAGTGTCTGTATACATGTTGGAAACTGACATAAATACTCATCAGCTTAAGTAACGACGTGATTTAATTATGTAAGAACTACTTCCACTTACAATTAATCATCTCGATGATATAATATTAATAAAACACAGCGTTGCCTCTAGAAAAATAGTATGTCAGTAATTTTTTTGTCATTTCTACCATTCTTTCTTAATTCTTTTAGTTTAAGATAAGAAGTTTTCAATCAGTATCGGATTCGATTAATTAAAGCAAGAATTGATGAACAAGGAACGTTTACATAATTGTTTTCCTTTATTTTGAGATATTTTTATTTTCCTTTGAAAGATTACGTTATTAAAGAGCAATTATTATGAAATCTTTTTTGTATAAAATGACATTTAAGCATCGGAGCAGTTAATAGCGATTATTGTCGATGTTAATGGTGCATTAACTCGTAAAAGCTAATTGAATAAAACGAAGGGTATCGACAAAGGCAGCGATAAAAAAAAGGTCAAATTAAACACTCTGCAAGATTTAAACCAACAAATACAATGGCTATCATAGCAATTGTTGTTGGTTGACTGCAATATTAATGCATTCGCAGATTTCCGCAGATTAAAATATAATACTTCGTAAACGTTGAAGTCGAGATTTCTATATTTATTCGTGACTATAACGATAGATTGTGGTTTATTGATACATATTGAATCAATCATTGGAAATGATGAAATCTTTATAAGTTCAGATTTCGATGTCGTAAACACGTAGAAATTAGGTTTCCTCGTCAGTTAGTAATATAGTATATATATATTTGTTTAGTTTTAAATATTTATCGCATAATTTATTAGAAAATATTCTGATTTCAAATTTCAATCTCAGCTGTGATGTGATAATTTTTATTTGTACACGTAACTTAGAAAATATATTTTTTTCTGACACTATCAACTCTTTTTTAGTGAGTAATCGCTTTTTATATAATTATTACAGCGTTATGACGTAAAGCTTGAACTTTGATATTTAAACGATGGATATAGTTGCGTGCGCAGAAATAACAATATTATTCCAGAGATATTGTGATATTTTTTTATAAAAACTGCTTTGAAATTAACAATATCAATTAATCTTTTAAAGAATGACACGCTTAATTCCACAACGAACTGAAATTTTAATGAGGTTGTTGTTAACTAAGAAAATTTGACAATGGTTCTATTTTTTTAGCTAAGATTTTTTTTATTCTTATATACAGTTGACTCTAAAACAACATTTGATGATATGTCAAAACACCAACTTTTATTAATAACAATCAATAATGAAGATACAAGAAATTAACTGGAATCAACAGCCTATTCAATATACTTACCGAAAAATCGATTTTGCTGAAATATCTAAACATTTAGCTATCACAATAAATTTTTAGATACTTCAGCAAAACCATTTTTTGTGCAGATCTGAAAATAATTATATTTGAATCATTAAAATAATTATGTAGAACGTTCAAATTAGTTGCTTATCAAAAGTTTTTGCAGAAGAATTGCTTGAGTTTCCTGTATAATTATTTTAATAGTCCAACAAAATTATTTTCAGATCTGTATCTATCTAAATTTTTTAATATTTCAGCAAAATCTTTCCATGTATAGAAATCCAGTTTAATACTGGCAAATTTATTACTAAAAAATAATGATTAATCATTTATTTTGACTATTAAAAGCACTGAACGATAGTACTTTTAATACTCACACTGAGAAATATGTCTGGTTGGATTAATTAAAATTCTGGTTGAAAATGGACGAATTTTCTGGTTAAATCTATCTACCATTGTTCTAATTGAGATAATCGGAATTCTTATTGATATAATCAGAATCTTTGTTCATTTTCAATATTTTTCTCAATACAAAAGAAGTAATTAATCATTACCTTCTAGTATCAGATTTCTATAAAGGACACTGTGTTACTTTTAAAATTTCTCAATAATATTCACTTCATCCATTAGAACACACCTTGTGTCTGATTACATTCTTATCGCGGAATAATTAGTGGCTCCCCCCCCCCAAAAATCAGTCTGCGTGTTGCGTTCGATCTATCGTCGTGCACTCTCACGACGACGCGTGATAGTGATATGTGGGAAAGACAAAGATAGATAGATAGATAGATAGATATAGATAGAGAGAGAGAGAGAGAGATTCCAGTTTTCTCGTAACCGGTGTACCGTTGCTTTCCACGCTCAGCTGACACGGCCGTGGCTTTTCGACCGATACTCCGAACGAACAGCCTTTCGAGAGCAGCGTGCCAGTCGACATTCGTGAGCGTAGCGCGTACAAGTTTGTCGCAAAGTTTGTCGCGCTCTTTTCTACTCTTTCCATTCTAACAGTTCTTTTCCTGCGAGTGTTAACGGGAATACGTCGCTCTTCTCGCTGGACTCGCGAGCGATTCACGGTTTCCTGGTTCTCCCATCGTCATTTATCGAAGTAACGTTACTGTGCACGGTGGAGTACAGTTCTCGACGTAAATTCGGATTTCTATGCTATAAATACCAAGGATAATACCTAATATTTACTCGTGATAATGAAAACGCAACGAGCGCCGCGTAGTAATACGGTTCCGCGTATTTACACTATGAAGAAAAGTTGTTAGCGCGTGAATTAAATGCGTTTAATTTACAGTGACTTTTTAATTCAAGTATTTATGTATCTAGACTAAATATACGTGAGTCTATTTAATAACTCATGTCTCAACAAAATCTTATAATTTAAAATGTTATTTGTTTGAATTGACAGATATTTACTTGACAGCTCATGACCGCCATAGTTGAATCAACTATATTCTTTTTTAAATCAACAACTTTTTTTCTCGGTGTATCTATAGCAGAAAATAAAACTCGCATCGAGACTACATCGAAAATCTCGTTAGTTTTATTCTTAATGTTCGGTATAGAAAGAACTGGCGCTTGCGAAGCATTTTACATTCCGAGTGCGTAGTTGCTAAATCGCGACCTATTTTTCGTGGTTGTTTACCTTTATGAACATGGAAACCCGTCGGCGTGTTGATACCGGCACTCGTAAGTTCTTTAAAAATAAATAAAATAATATTTACGATTCTATAGAATAAATCCAATACAAATAAAACGCCTATTGTTTGTGAATATATCATAATTCTTTTATTTCAGAAGTGACACAACTAAAAGAATTAATAAATGATTAAAAAAATTAAGTTTTTCAGAAAAGGGAAAGAAGTAATTTTTAACTTAACAATAAATTATTGACTAATTAAATATTGGCAAAAAAAATATACTCAGAAACGTGAACAAATGATAATTTTTTCATTTTTATTTCACAATTTTTAAAAAACCACTTTTTTAAGTTGTAACAGTTTTGATATCCTCCAAAATTATAACAAATCTAGAATATTTCATCAAAGTGTCGTAATTCAAAATATCCAACACTTTGATTAGATAAAATGATTAAATTAAAGATAAAAGAATTTCTTCTTCAAATTTTGATCATCAAAACTATCTTGACTCTAAATGTTCTCTGTAGAAGACTCTTTTTTATTTAAAAAAACGACACAACTCTCAAAATGTGTCATTTTTGTAGAAGGTATCATGATCTTTTAAAAAAATCTCAAGAAAGAGACATAAATGTAGCTATTTGGCGGACGGACTGTAAAGTCAAGTTGATTTACTTTTAATAAAGTAATCTGTATCTAACTCATTCATGATAATAACTCGGAAATCATTTTTTGAATTGCGTTTTGAAGTAAAGAAACTTTTGAAGTAAAGAAACAATATAATTTATGCACTAATAATTATGAAGGCTCATATAGATATTTTATTAGCATTTTCTTTAAAAATTGATATAAAAATGGTAATTTTTAGTCTGAAAAATCGCAGCGATTATTAGTTTCGGAATTACTTTTTTTTTTGGAAGCAGCGTTACGATTTTACAGCTCACCATTTTGTTAATCTTGCTAGCTCATTACAAAAATAAGCTTAATTTGTTTAATATGTACATATTATTTGTATAATTATTTCTACTTTAGTGACGTTTAAATTGCACTTGTTAAAGAATTATATATTACATATTTTCCGTTAAAGAAAAAGATTATCTATGGTCGTGAATACGACTTTATTATCTTGCTGTTATCTTTTTACCTTGCATTATTTCTACCTATATAATATAATAAAAAGTGCGTGTGTATATGTTTGGTTATATAAAAAAACTTATAAGGCATTATGCTTTATAATTTTTTTTAAATTTTTTAAGATATCTACATGATAAGTATAATTATAATCAATTGGGTGAAGGTAACTTCACGATAGTCGAGAAGATTATTCACAGCTATGAAGCACAGTGACTTGCGAAAAAATTAGTAATTGAAATTGTTACTTGTTTCTCCTCTTACTCGATCTCAGCGTTAACTAATTTTCCCCGGGTTTTCCTTGGTATTGACCTCGAAAGAAATCAAAACAGACCATAACTAGGTTCTCGGAAGTGCACGTGTATATGAAACAGATTTTTCAGTCACCACACAATTTGTATAATTACTCGTAAATCGCACAATAACAGGATACCGCAAATAATAGGCTGCTAACGTAACAATGAATGTACTCGCGATTTTGTTTTCGACTGACAAGACAATTTCCGAAAGCCTGCAGACATTCTTGAGTCAAATGATGAAGTATTCTCTGAACGTGTCGAATAAATCTCACGCGAAGAAAGGCATATGTACAACTGATGGCGTTAATTAGAATTCTAAAACGATATTGCTTGGCTGCAATAAATATCAGGCCGTATTTATAACGAACACAATGGCAATTTCCATTTAGCGTTGCACTTCTCTTATATGCAACCTCGCTAGTGTTATCATTTATTCTTCCGGTCAATTTTCAAGATTACGTATTGTATTGCCGTTATATTTCTTGTACGTGATTATCTTGAGAAGGCGATGGATAAAATTAGAAAACGCTTGATTGAATTAATCCCTTCTCAATTAATTCAATGATATGCATAGAAAAGAATCGTTAATTTAAATCGTTGATTTATAGTGATTAGATGAATATCTATGGTTTTTATAAAGATATAAATTCTAAGACAATTTGTAGAGAATATATTTTTTACGTCATCCTCGGCGGAAGAAAGAATGTAGCCTGTGGCCCATTTTTTAGCAATTCGTCATATCGTAAGTGTGAACTTAAGAATCGTAATGATGACGTAAGTGTCATGTGTGAATCATCATCTTTACAAGAGATCAATAGTCAGTATTTAATAGCATTCGACCTCTTTCGCTAAAGATCCCGTCGTCTCGCGCGGGAAGAACTTCACGACGCAGTTTATTGATTCGGGCTTCGACGGGTTTTCACAGAAAACATCATACCACGTAGTATATCTATAAAATTTATTTATTATAGATCATAAATCATTTGGAATAGTAAATCATCTGGAGATCATTGCGATGATGCACTGTTCAAGATCGTTTCATCCATTTATTTTAAGTCATAATATTTGATATTTTTCTTATTAAAAATACATAAAATAATGATTTAGTGGAAAAATAATTTTATTTAAAGGAAATATTTACATGGAATACAGGCTGTTCCGAAATTCGCGAATGAAAGTATCACAGCAAGAAAGTTTTTGAAAGATTAAAAAAATGTTATGTACATTTTTATTTTAAGTAGTAGTTTTTGAGATGTAAGGGTTTAAATATTATCAATTATACAGATTATGTTTAGAACGCTATCTGTCCAGGAATCGCGCGTGTGATAGTATTAGTAAACATGCACTTCAGCGTTCAAATATAATCCGTCAGTCATATTTACATTTATTATTTATTAAAAATATAATATATCAATAAGTAATAGAGCTATGAGCCAAGGTTAATAAATTAAAATTAAATAAACATACAACTTTAATATAAATGCCGGCAATAACAATATAAACGTTTTGATCCGCATCGGATCATTCTCAATGTTAGAATTGAATATAATAAAAGAATATATAAAATTAAAAATTAAAAATCAGAAACTTCCCTCTCATCTCGCAGTACCTCCGCCAACATATTGGTACAATGTGAAATCGGCAATGTGTTTATCCGCTTACTCGTATGTGTAATGTATGATTTCTTAACGTGGATCATAATCAGACAAATGCGAAGAGAGTTAAATTTCTTGTCTTTATTCGTTCGTGTACTCAGACAGTACTCAGACAGTATAAAAATATAATAGTAATAAGGCTCAATAATTTCAAAAAATAAAAAAGGAAATAGGGCCTTTGGCTCGTAGCCCTATTTCCTTTTTTATTATTTATTATTTTACGAACTATTACTTAAAATAAAAATTTACAAGTAATTTCTTTATTTTTTTTGCAAACTTTCTTGTTGTACTTTGAGTCGCGAATTCCGGACACCCTGTATATACTCCGTCATAAATAGTTACACTAAAAAAAAATGCATGTAATTTTACATGGAAATTACACGTTCATGACTGAAAAGTTGCCTAAATATATGATTGAAAATTTACAATTTCCAGTAAATTTTCAAGCATATTTATGTAATTTAAATAATTTTCCAGTCATATACATGTAATTTCCATGTAAAATTACATGCATTTTTTTCAGTGTACTTCTGTTTCTCATTGTTAAAGAAGATAGACCAATGAATTTAATATTTCATAATGATACTATAATATTATTTATAATACTTGATAATAATACTTTAATACAATCGACGAAGAATAAAATATTTATTATCTCAATTTAATATATCATATTTATCTCAATTTAATACCTATTATCAATTTAATACCTATAGGTTATAGTTTCCTTTTTTCGTTAGGCATAATTCAATTTCAAATATGGATCGTTTATTGATTACCGGATATAAGAGGAGTATTTTCGGTATTTTATTGTGTATACAAATTTATTCTATTGATTTTGCAAATGTTAACTAAAAAATACATTTTAATATACTATAGTTTGCAAGAATTTTCTTTATCTTTCTGGATCTTTGTCTCTTTTGACGTCACAATCCAAGCTGCAGTGAGTAGACAGGAGCCTTAAATTTGAGTTTTAGCCTGTCACAGTCTTTCCTAATTTAAAAAGTAAAGCAGAATTTGTGGCCATTTTATTTCAAAGATAAGATCAAGTGGGACGTTCTATAATTAAGAATGTCTTATTTGCAAGGAGTGCACGTGGATCTTTCGTTTGTTATGAGGTGTTAAATAGATCAGATCGACCGTGCTAAGTGTAACCAGGCTACCGCAGGTGCCCTGACCCTGACTATCGCGGCAAACGAACACGTCGTCTTCACGGCGCAGAGTAGGCGACCGCATCCTGGACGGCTGCCATCGAGAGATCTAAATAGAACTACCCACCGCACTCCTACGGCGGCGGGACGACCACTTTACTGCCGTTTTATAGATTCCGTTTCGTCGCATTGACTATTTGCACGAGAAGTGCGAATGTCTTAACCGATGGATGAATAACTCTCCTAAAACTGTATCGCGCATATAACGTGGGCGCGTTAGCTCCAGAATGTCTACACTGTTGAACACTTGGACTGTTTCTTCTGATGCATTAAAGTGGAACGCTGTATGTCTACCAAATGTTCCCTCTAAAACTTTTTGAGTGAATCTCACTCTAAAGAGTGAAATCTTACTCTTAAAGATAGAAAATTGAGTCACTCTTTTTCAAGACTGGTTCAATTTTTACTCTTTAGAATGAGATTTCACTTCGAAGAATTTATAGATAACGTTACATTGTATACGAAATTATTAAGCTAAAATAATAACTGACACAGCACATGAGATATTTTTTTTATACGTGTGAGGCATTCCACGTCAAACCGGGCACCTTTGAAACATCGTCATTTTTATTTTTTTTTTTTAATTTGCTGACATATTCTACAGATAAAAATGTCAGACACGTGTTTCGCGAAAAAATTTCAAGATTTTTTTTGCGAAGTTATTCACGCTTGTAAGTTGCAGAAATTCATAAAAAACGTCACTCATGCGAACATTCAAGTTATTATATCGTCGAAACCACTAGTCGCACAAAAAAATGC